TGAGGGGGCGGGCCTTCTCGGGAGGCTCGGAAAGCCTCCGGCCTTCTGAGGCTCTTTCTGAGCATTTTCTGGGGGCTTCTCAGAAGGCCAGAGGGCTTGTGAGAAGCTCCGCCGCATTCTGAAAGGGCCTGCCCACTCTCGCTTCCCCCCTCCGCGCGCTGCCGACTTATCTCTACCCCGAAGCAGGTAGCACTGCATACAAATTAGCCAGCGTGGACCCAAAACAGTGGATGCATTGGCTATGTGTTGCAATCTGTGTGGTGCAAGCTATATGGTGCAGTAGCCGTGCCGCAAGCTATAGGGGCAGCAACGGGTGGCAACTTGACGAAACCTCGCCAGAGCCGCCAAGCGCACGAGGCGTCGGGGCCTAAGAGACGGGGATCAATGCAAACCGGGATTAGCCAGATCGCCAGATCTTGAAGGACCTTGCAGGATCCTGCAGAGCCAGGGTTGCACTGACCCCGGTCTGGGCGCAGGATCCTGCAGGGTTTTGAAGGATCGATCGTGCAAGGCCTGACTGACCCGGGTCTGGCTTGACATGGGTCAGAGGATCCCCGAAGGTGGCCATGAGGCGGCCACGGGCGGCAACGTGGCGAAACCTTGCTGGACCCACCTGGCGCAAGAGGCGGCTCCAGGGCGGCCACAGGCGGCGATTTTTGGCGAACAAATTCGCCGGACCACACCAGCGCACGACGCGGGCACACGGCGGCCACGAGGCGGCAAAGTTGCGGAACCTCGCCAGCCACATGGCCACGAGGCGGCCACGGGCGGCATCGTGGCGAAACCTCGCCGGAGCCACCCAGCGCACACGGCGTCTTCGACGCGGTCACAGGTGGCAGCTTGGCGAACGTGTGCCAGGCCCACCCAGCGCACGGGGCTGCGAGGCGGCCACGAGCGGCAGCTTGACGAAACCTCGCCGGACCCACCCAGATCACGGGGCGGCCTCCTGGCGGGCACTGGCGGCGATTTGATGAAACCTCGCCAGATCCACCCAGAGCGCGAGGCGGCCAGAAGGCGGTCACGGGCGGCATGTTTGGGAAATCTACAAAGGCCCGCGCAGCGTACGAGGTGGCCGCGGGTCTCAACGTAGCGAAACCTCGCCAGACCTGGGTCATGAGGCGGCCTCGAGGGAGGCACGGGATGCAACGTGGCGAAACCTCGCCGGACCCACCCAGCGCACGAGGCAGCGACGACGCGGCCACAGGCGGCAACTTGGCGAAATCTTGCCGGACCCAACCAGCGCACGAAGCGACCACGAGGTGGCCAAGGGCGGTATCGTGGCGAAATCTCGCTGGACACTGCCTGCGCACGAGGCGGCCACGAAACGGCCATGGGCGGCAACATGACGGAACCTCGCCAGACCCACCCAAGTCACGAGGCTGCTTTGAGGGGGGCACGGGCTGCAATTTGACGCAACATCGCCGGAACCACCCAGAGCATGAGGCGGCCACGCGGCCACCAGCGGCAACGTGGCGAAATTTGGCTGGACCCACCCAGGGAACGAGGCAGCCACGACGCCACCCTGGGCGGCAACGTGGCGAAATTTCGCTGGACACATCCAGCGCACGAGGCGGCCACGAGGCGGCCATGGGCAGTAATTGATATGACCAAACCTCGCCAGACCCACCCAGGTCACGAGGCGGCTTCGAGGGGGGCACGGGCGGCAACGTGGCGAACCCTCGCCAGACCCACCGCGCGAGGCGGCCACGGGCAGTAGCCTGGCGAAGCCTCGCCAAACCCACCCAGCCCACAAGGCGACCACGAGTTGTCACGGGCGGCAGCGTGGCAAGTCATCGCCGGACTGAGCCAATTCCTCAGTGATTCAATTAAAAACCCCTAAGTTCAAGCACTGTTTGGGAAATCTTGTTTCGGAAGTTCGCGCGATTTTCTGTTGGCCAGGCCAGGGTTAAGTCGGGCATGTCCCTCTACATGATGAAACTTCGAAAATAATCGAAACATAGGATTTGGCGATGTATCATGCCTTGTTCAAAATACTCCGAACATAATATGGAAAACGTTTTCTGGATATTGGGTCGGCGAACGTACGATGCACGCGGTTGGAAAACATGCGAATCGCCATATGGCCCGCCAGGGGAGTCCGGTTGTGATTCAAGATGTCCGCGCTTACCTCCGAAAAGATTATGTGTATGTAGTTGGTTGCACTGTTATTGCCTGCCGCTACCTTTCCCTCGGTCTCGAGGTACCGACAGATTTGGTTGGCCAGTGGGTATGGGGCCAGGGCATATGAGGAGCCCTCCGCATGTGCGCTGTACTTGATTGCGCTCGTTGCATTTCTCAGTTGTCATTGGCCATGAGTTCGTAACGCTCCTGTTCGGTCCGCCTTCTGTATGAGTGGGTTGAGATGGTTGTTGGGCACTTGAGCTGCGATACTCGTCTGGCCCTCCTGGGTCCATGGTTCGCGATCAGCTATGATCGGGGCCATGCTGACCCATCTTGCGAGTCTTGCAGGCGGAGTGATCTGTTCTGCAACTCGGACACAAGAAATAACGGTGTCGCAAAGCAGTGCAGCCAAGACGCCCAAACAAGGAACAGCTCAGTTCGGCAGGGGCTCGTTGCTCCTTAGGTCCTTCCCATGGTTATTCCTGCAACGCTTCTCTTGCATTCAGGCGCGGTTGGGTTAACATGGGGCTCCATTCCTTTTTGTGACTTCCTTACGGTGTAAATCACGCTTGATCTGGCTTATCCCGCTTAATTCCGCTTGATCCGGCTTAAACCTGGGGTGAACCTGGCCTGATCTAGCCTGATGGCCCAGCAGTCGGGCCTCATAGCCCCTGATCGCTCTTACGGAGACCCCTCAGAGGTTGCCTCCTACCCTGGGGTCAACGGCAATGGTGCGTGCAGCGTGCAGCCGAACAAAATGCGAACGAGCAGCACGCACATTTTGAAAGTGCGCGTGTCATCGACGCCCGTTTCGCAGTTTTGGGCAGGGGCTAAGACTGGATTGAATATCTCCAGAGCGTTGCGGAACGCTCTCAGAGCGCTCCAGGGCGCTCTGGAACGGCGGCGGCGCCCGAGGCGTCCTCCAGGGCCGCAAGCTCTCAGAGGTCCCCGATTCTGTCTCCCGGTCCGTTTTTGCCCCTGTCTGCTGTCTGGCCTCGGTTTCTTCCTTCGAGTAGGGGATCGACTACAGAATTGATTTGCCCCAGAATTGAGTCCCCATCGAATCTGCGGCGAAAGCCTAGAACGTGTTCGCAAATCCACGGGGACTTCTGCACGTTCTCCTCCCATCCGACGAGAGAAAAGCCGGCTTTTTCTGGGGCAGACCAAGTCTATCGGAGGTGAAAAGACCTCCTACCCTGACACGTCGATGAGTGAATTGTCCGTTTTCGGCCGTTATTTTCCAGGTTTGCCGTTCTTTTCCAGGCCGCTATTTTCCAGGCTTGCGCCCGCCAGGTTTGGGCCCGATGTCGTTTTCACTGAACCACGTTTTACGAAAGGGAGGTCTGTGCATCCCCGACTCTGCAGTCGATCCCCTGCTCGCTTCCTGCACCCCCGGGGGAAGAGGCCGCCGCGGTGGCCGCCGCGGTGGCCGAGGGCTGCTCCGTGCAGGTGGTGCACCCGCAGCGCTTCGCGCCGGCGGTGGCGGCGCTCCTCGCGCGCGCGGGGCCCGGCCGCGCTCTCCCTGCGGCTTGGCATCGCTCTGACGTGTGCATTTTTTCTCGGCGAGAACCATCCCCCGACTCCGGATCCGCCCTACTTTGGGGAAATTCGTAAGTGGGGCTTGGAATTTCCGCCTTACTTTTCAAGCCCCGCTGATGCCAATTTCCGCCCTACTTTTCTGTAGCTGTTTCTGTGGATTTCCGCCCTATTTTTTATGTTGGGTGCAGCAATTTCCGCCCTACTTGTTCGGCCTCTTATAGGTGGATTTCCGACGCAATTTTAAGTGGGAAAAAAGCCAAAGTAGGGCGGATCTGGAGTCAGGGGTTTGCATTTTTTTCGGCGAGAACCATCGAGGACCATCCTGGACCATCGAGCAATAAAAACACGCACGAGACCGACAAATGCACGGGAAGTGGACGTCCGAGCGATGGCAAGGCGGGGGGGGTCCTCTGGGGCAGGCCGGAGGGCCCAGCTCGCCGACAGCGTGGGAGCCTCAACGGTTACGTCGGGCGCGTCCCCCTACAGGGGGATGTTCGACGAAAAATTAAGAAGTAACCCCAAAAATGCCCCAAAAAGGTCAAAGCATACCAAAAAATAGTCCCCAGACTATGTTTGGATTTTTTTTGACTTTTTTTTTTCGTTTTCGTTGAAAATCTCCCTGTAGGGGGACAGGTCCGACTTAACTCAACGGGCGGGCTGTGTCGGGCGGGCGGGTGCTGGCATTCTAAGTCGGGCACGTCCCTCCACAGGAGGGATCCTCGAAAGGATTTCAACAAATATTTGGTCTGGGGATGCTTTTGTTGGGTTTTGTCAGGGGCGATTTAGCTTGGTGCTTGCCTTCGTTTTGTTTTTCGTTTTCGTGCTTGTTGTTGCTCCGTTGTGTTGTTCGTTTTTGTTTGAAATGCGTTTGAAGTTTAAACGGTTGTTTGGCGCGCGTTTCGTTGTTTGTTTTGTTAGATCACGGATCCAAGTTTGCGTTTCGTTTTTCGCTTTGTTTGCCCCGTTCATTCTGTGCTGCGTTTCGTTGGCCGTTGTGTTTCGCGCCGCCGCTGACCATCACCGATATCAGAATATCGCCGTATAGTAACAACAGGCTCAGACAGGATATGCTCTTTCTTACTGTTGCGAGGTCCGACTGCATGTGGATTCATGCAGGCACTTTGGGCACCTCTCTTCGGGTTGTGTCGCCCAGGTGTTCTGTCCGGGCACAATATGTTTTTGTTCTTACCGCTTTCCATGCTCTGCTCCGACACCCGCCCGTAGGAGGACAATGCCCGCCCGACCTCACCCTCACAAGGCGGGTCGGGCTGGGCGGGCGGCCCCTGCCGGGCCTTGGCGGGTCCTGGGCGGGCGCGGCCCGGAAAAGACGGCGGGGCAGGCATGGGCGGCCCAGGCCCCCGACGCCGTGGTTTTCTCCACAGCGTCGGCCCCCCGAGGCCTTCGGGGTGCGAACCACGCCCTTTGCAAACCACACCCTCTGGAGTCGCCGATGGCAGTCCCGCGTTCTGCCGCCCGTGCTTTGTAAGGAAGGCATGCGGCGGCAGGGCCTGGGGAGCAGGAGCAACTCTGTGGCCGGAGCGCCTCAAAGGTTCTGGGTTTGATGGGCTTGTTTTCCACCACCACCACCATAAGTTGGAGGGGGGAAGGAGGTGGAGGACGTAGAGAGGAGAAGGAGGAGGAGGAGGAGGAGGAAGAGGTGGAGGAGGAGGAGGAGGTGGAGGATGAGGGGGAGGAGGAGGAGGACCCCCTCTCCCTCCAACCTATGGTGGTGGTGTTGGTGGTGGTAGAAAACATGCCTAATTATCATGGGTTGGGTCGCGTCGGGTCGACGAACCCTCCGCCGTCCCTTCATGGCATTGGAGGGTTTCTCCGAAGGGCTTAGGCGACCCGCACTCCTCCTCCTCCTCCTCCTCCTCCCTCCTCCTCCTCCCTCCTCCTCCTCCTCCTCCTCCTCCTCCCTCCTCCTCCCCCTCCCCCTCCCCCTCCTCCTTCTCCTACTCCTCCTACTCCTCCTACTCCTACTCCTCTCTCCTCCCTCCTCCTCCTCCTCCTCCTCCTCCTCCTCCTCCTCCTCCTCCCCTCCTCCCTCCTCCTCCTCCTCCTCTCTCCTCCTCCTCCTCCTCCTCCTCCTTCCTCCTCCTCCTCCTCCTCCTCCTCCTCCCTCCTCCTCCTCCTCCTCCTCCTCCTCCTCCTCCTCTCCTCCTCCTCCTCCTCCTCCTCCTCCTCCTCCCCTCCTCCTCCTCCTCCTCCTCCTCCTCCTCCTCCTCCTCCTCCTCCTCCTCTCCCCCCTCCTCATCCTCCTCTCCCTCCTTTCCCTTCCCCATCTCCCCTCCTCCTCCTCCTCCCTCTCCCTCCTCCTCCTCCCCCTCCTCCTCCTCCTCCTCCTCCTCCTCTCCTCCTCCTCCTCCTCCTCCTCCTCCTGCTCCTCGGGTCGCCTACGGCCCCGGGGGAAACCGTGCACATGGCACGTGGCAGTCCCCTCTCGCTCGCCCGCCCGTTTCTCGCAGCGGCTGCGCCCTGCAGATGCTGCCGTGCCCTCTGCCCTCTTGCCCTTTGTCGGCTTCAGGGGCGGGCAGGTCGGCGCGAGCAGGGCCGCAGCGGCGGGGGCGGGCCCCGCCCTCCCAGCCGAGGCCTGGAGGGCTTCTTCGGCTGCCTGTGGGGCGCCAACAGCTTCCGGACGCCCCCGGCGTCGCGCGGCTTCAAGGCCCTGGCGCCCGCGCACCTTTTAGGGGGGGGGGGACTGGGTGGGCCGCAGCGGCAACACGACGACGGGGAGGAGGGTGAGGCGTCTCAGGCGACCGCAACGCTGGCTTAAAGGGGGCGTGGATTGGCGACGGGTCCCGTTTCCATGGGAAGTCGCGGAGTTCCGCCGCCGAACGAGGCGGCACCGGCCGCATTGTGGGGAGGGCACCTCCCCCGATCCATGTGGCGACCGCGCGCCAAGTCCATGGATCGCTAATCCATGTTTGCGCGCCCCCGAGTGTCGGAGGAAGAATGTATACACTGATGCCACGACCTTCCCTCGTCGCCACAGTTGGCTCCGCCTCGGAGTCCTGGTCAGAACGCACCCCAGGAGGTCCTTCGAGTAGCGGCATGGTTCTGTTTTCTCTTTTCCCCCCATCGGATGGGGGACAGGAGAGGAGGAAGAGGGGAGGAGGTGGGAGGGGCCAAGGGAGGGAGGAGGAGGAGGAGAAGGAGGAGGAGGAGGAGAAGGAGAAGGAGGGCAGGAGGCACTGCCGAGGAAGGTGACCAGGATCGATAATATTCCGGAAGCGTGCGTAATTAGCCCAAAGGGTGTGTTGCTAATTTCAGTTCTACCGTCTATCGATGGCACGCAGCCTATGCTTGCCCTCTTTGACTGCACTGGCTGAGTCGTCATTGTTGAAAGGGGGCGTCGGTGGACCAGCACACGCTGGCGCCAACACACGTTCTGAGGGAGCACGATGGTTACGATGATGACGAGGAAGGTGTTGCGAATGAAGATGGTAAGTATGATGTCTATGCTGGTGGTGATGACGATGATGACGGTGGTGATGATGGTGGTGACGATGGTGATCTGGCACGACGACGATGTCGTCGGCGACGACGATGGTGATTTCGATGGATGACACGTACTACGATACTGATGATGTCCTTATAAAGGTTTGCTCCGCCCCCACGCTCTCCTTTCCGCCTTTCCGTTATTCGGCCTCATCCTTTCGTTCTTTGCCCCTTGATCCCTCTCTACACCCTTCTTCACTTTCTGGACCGCCTCAAACATCTCTGGCATAACCAAGTATCTTGTATGTCCCGACCAGGAGGTACGCGAGTAATGCAGGGAGTACGAGCTCTATGGTCGACGCTCGCTTGTTGATGCAGACTCTGGAGCACAGGCAGCATTAAGCAAACCAGCAAATCGGTGTCGACCCATCATGGCGCGAACTTTCCCACTCTCTTCTCGGTTGGCGCATCCGCGCTGATTCTCACCTCGATGTGTGGCAGTTTTGGCCTCCTGCACGGGGTACGTAGCACCGATCGGCAGCGAACGTTCGTCCTTGTAATGCTATCTAGTTTTCTCGATCCGCCGCCCCCCCTCCCCGGCGCGCGGAACGCGCCAGGGAGGAGGGTCCAGTGCCGCGTGTAATCATGTGTGCGTCGTTTCGTGTAATCATGTGTGCGCAGTCGCAACGTGCTCAGGCCCACCACGACGAGGTGGAGGTCTTCATGCTGCAGCTGGAGGGCGCCAAGAACTGGACTCTGCACTCTTGCCCCGCAGGTCTGTGGGGCACGAGCGCACCCGCAAGCAGATTCGTGTCGACATCAACGCGTACGGTCACACACGTTGCATGCGCGCCGACGTGCCTCCTAGCATGCACTCATACAAAGGAACAATCACGTGCAAATGTACAGACACCTATCAGCACGATTAAGGATCCAGCTGCCTGTGGCAAAGATCGCCACGACAGCAGCGCAGCAGCAGCAGCAGCAAGGACGACGTTTGTCCCCGCGGCTGGACGCGGCTCAAAAGCTTGCGAGGCCAGCGTCGTGAAGACCCCATTCGCCGATTTCATCGAACTTTGGCCTGGAGGAGAGGAAGTGGACGAAGGCACCCGCAAGGGTGACAAGGGACGAACACATCCGCATCCGTGTGCGTGGCCGGGCGTGCTGTGGGCCTTCTGCGTCCCCGTCCCCTCCCAGCCGCTCTTCGCCTTCGGCCGTTTCGTTTGCGTCCTGCGCCGCTCGTCGCTCCCGGCGCGAGAGGTCCGCTGCCCCAGGGCTACTGCTGGGATGCGGCAGGGCTTACGCCTGTTCAGAGCACACCCCGTTCGTCGTACGTCAACGAGCGATGATGACGATGGCGATGATAATGATGATGATGATGATGATGATGATGATGATGATGATGATGATGATGATGATGATGATGATGATGATGATGATGATGATGATGATAACGATGATGCTGATGATGATGATGATGATGATGATGATAATAATGACGATGATGATGATGATGCTGGTGATGATCATGATGATGATGATGATGATGATCATGGTCATGATCATGATGGTGATGATGATGCTGATGATGATGATCACGCTGATGATGATAATGATGGTGATGACATTGTTGGTGATGATGAGGATGATAATGATGGAATGATGATCATGATAATACTGATGACGATGATGATGCTGGTGAGGATGAGGATGAGGATGTGGAGGCTGATGATGATGATGATGATGGTGGTGGTGATGATGATGCCGACGGTGATAATAATGATGATGATGCTGGTGATGATGCTGTTAATGATGACGATTATGATGATGATGATGATGATGATGATGATGATGATGATGAGAACGAGGATGAGGACGAGGATGAGGATGATGAGGATGAGGATGAGGATGAGGATGAGGATGATGATGATGAGGACGATGAGGATGAGGATGAGGAAAGTGATGCTGATGATGGTGACGATTATGATTGTGAAGCTGATGATGCTGATGCCGATGAGGATCAGGACGAGGATTACCATGACGATGAGGATAACACTGCTGCTGATAATGCTGATGATGAGGATGATGAGCACGGTGATGATGCTGCTGATGATTATGAGGAGATGATGATCATGACGAAGAAGGTGAGGATGATGATGATGCTGATGCTGATGCCGATGCATATGATGCTGATGCTGATGCTGGTGATGATGAGGACGACGATGAGGACGAGGATGACACTACTGCTGATGATGATGAAGATTATGGGGATGGTGATGATGATGAGGATGCTGATGATGATGATGAGGAGGAGGAGGATGCTGCTGAGGGCTGCTGCTGATGATGATGAGGGAGAGTGATGATGATGCTGCCGATGATGATGATGGTGGTGATGGTGATGGTGATGTCAATGATGATGATGATGATGATGATGATGATGATGATGATGGTGCTGGTGATGGTGATGGTGATGATCATGATGGTGCTGGTGATGTTGACGATGTTAATGCTGATGATGATGATGCTGCTGATGATGATGATGATGATGATGATGGTGGTTGTGAGGATGTTTATGACGGCGCCGATGATGGTGCTGGTGGTGGTGATGTTGATGGTGTTGGTGAAGATGAGGCTGAGGATAAGGAGGAGGAGGCGGATGAGGAGGATGGTAATGATGGTGATGATGATGAGGATGAGGATATGAATGCTGAGGCTGATGTTGATGCGGATGCTGCTTCATGATCATTGTGATGGGCAAGAGGATGAGGGTGGAGATGATGGGGTTGATGAGATTATGATGCTGTTGCTGATGCTGAGGTTGATGAAGATGACGAATACGATGATGATGATGATGATGATGATGATGATGAGGAGGATGAGGAGGATGAGGATGAGGATGAGGATGATGAGGATGCTGAGGATGCTGATGCTGATGCTGCTGTTGATGATGATGATGATGATGATGCTGATGATGATGATGATGATGATCATGATCATGATCATGATCATGATCATGATCATGATGATGGGAGGCATGGTGATGGTGGTGATGATGGTGAGGGTGACAGTGGTGATGGTGATTGTGATGAAAGTGTTGGTGACGACGATGACGACGATGATGACGACGAGGATGGTGACGATATTGACGATGGTGCGACGACAATGGTGACGATGATGTTCACGATGATGACGATGATGCCGATGATGGTGATGATGGCGATGCCGACGGCTACGACGGCGGTGTTTGTGATTCGGATGAAGGTAACGTTGGCATCGCGCTCGAATACGAACGACCGTGGTCACGGCGACGGTGTGAGGGCTTCTGAGGAGGTTGTGAGGGAGTTTGCGGACGGGGACCAGGTCCATTTTCACGCGCTCGAGGTCAAGAATCCTCGGCTGCGACCTCATGGATGCACGGCGGCGTTGCGCGGATGCTCTTTCCCGGGACGCTTCCATAGGGTCGTGAATCCATGGAATCGCGCCGCGGCAGCCAGATTGCGAGGGCATGCATACGATGCACCCAGACATCCTCAGGCGTTTTCAAATAGAATCTAGGTCCCAAAACCAGGGGAAGTGTTGCTCCCCAGATCAAATTCTTGATTGTGCTGGATCCCGTTACCTTTAAGGCGGGCGTGTCCCTGTAAAGGGGAAAACAACATACAAAGAAGAATAATAATAATAAGAAGAAGAAGATGGAGAGAGAGAGAGAGGGAGAGAGAGAGAGAGAGAGTGAGAGAGAGAGAGAGAGAGCGAGAGAGAGAGAGAGGTAGACAAAAATAGGCAGAGAGAGGCGGGGGCAGGGGGATTCAAAAATAGTCAAACATAATATGATGACGATTTTGGAGTTTTTTTGTGAGGGGGGTATTTCCCAACCCTCCTTGGTTGGGTATTCGTTTTGAATAGAGCAGTGTGGTCTCCACTCCTTCCTCCTCCCTCCCTCCCTGCCTCTTGCTGTCTTGCCTGGGGGGGGTGCGATCTGTGAAACTGTCGCCATTTTCGAGGCCTGCTGGGGGGCCCAGCACAGTGAGGGCCACGCGCGGATTCAAATTAGACCTCGCCATGTCTGGGGGGGCTGCGATCTGTGAAACTGTCGCCATTTTCGAGGCCTGCTGGGGGGCCCAGCAAAGTGAGGGCGACGCGCGGATTCAAATTAGACCTCGCCATCTCTGGGGGGGCTGCGATCTGCGAAACTGTCGCCACTTTCGAGGCCTGCTGGGGGGCCCAGCAAAGTGAGGGCGACGCGCGGATTCAAATTAGACCTCGCCATCCCTGGGGGGGTTGCGATCTGTGAAACTGTCGCCGCTTTCGAGGCCTGCTGGGGGGCCCAGCACAGTGAGGCGACGCGCGGATTCAAATTAATCCCAAAACTGTAGAAGCACAGTTTTAGACCTCGCCATCCCTGGGGGGCTGCGATCTGTGAAACTGTCGCCACTTTCGAGGCCTGCTGGGGGGCCCAGCACAGTGAGGGCCACGGGCGGACCCAAATTAGACCTCGCCATCCCTGGGGGGCTGCGATCTGTGAAACTGTCGCCACTTTCGAGGCCTGCTGGGGGGCCCAGCACAGTGAGGGCCACGGGCGGACCCAAATTAGACCTCGCCATCCCTGGGGGGCTGCGATCTGTGAAACTGTCGCCACTTTCGAGGCCTGCTGGGGGGCCCAGCACAGTGAGGCCACGGGCGGACCCAAATTAGACCTCGCCATCCCTGGGGGGCTGCGATCTGTGAAACTGTCGCCACTTTCGAGGCCTGCTGGGGGGCCCAGCACAGTGACACACGGGCGGATTGAAATTAGACCTCGCCATCCCTGGGGGGCTGCGATCTGTGAAACTGTCGCCACTTTCGAGGCCTGCTGGGGGGCCCAGCACAGTGACGCCACGGGCGGAATCAAATTAGACCTCGCCATCCCTGGGGGGCTGCGATCTGTGAAACTGTCGCCACTTTCGAGGCCTGCTGGGGGGCCCAGCACAGTGACGCCACGGCAGATTCAAATTAGACCTCGCCATCCCTGGGGGGCTGCGATCTGTGAAACTGTCGCCACTTTCGAGGCCTGCTGGGGGGCCCAGCACAGTGACGCCACGGGCGGACCCAAATTAGACCTCGCCATCCCTGGGGGGCTGCGATCTGTGAAACTGTCGCCACTTTCGAGGCCTGCTGGGGGGCCCAGCACAGTGACGCCACGGGCGGACCCAAATTAGACCTCGCCATCCCTGGGGGGCTGCGATCTGTGAAACTGTCGCCACTTTCGAGGCCTGCTGGGGGGCCCAGCACAGTGACGCCACGGCGACCAAATTAGACCTCGCCATCCCTGGGGGGCTGCGATCTGTGAAACTGTCGCCACTTTCGAGGCCTGCTGGGGGGCCCAGCACAGTGACGCCACGCGCGGACCAAATTAGACCTCGCCATCCCTGGGGGGGCTGCGATCTGTGAAACTGTCGCCACTTTCGAGGCCTGCTGGGGGGCCCAGCACAGTGACGCCACGTGCGGATTCAAATTAGACCTCGCCATCCCTGGGGGGCTGCGATCTGTGAAACTGTCGCCACTTTCGAGGCCTGCTGGGGGGCCCAGCACAGTGACGCCACGGGCGGATTCAAATTAGACCTCGCCATCCCTGGGGGGCTGCGATCTGAGATCCCCGCTTTCGAAGTGGCTAGGGTTGTTCAGGGATTGCAACTAATCAGCTCTATCTAGTCCTTGTCCTGTAGCCAGTGTCCTGCGAGTCTCCCGAATTCCGTCTGCAGACATATGTAACCCTCGCTCCGTCATCGCCCCCCTTATAAAGTGTACAAAGCTATTTGCGCCCCGCGTTTGCGCAGGGGTTGGGTTCGTCACCAGGGTAATTTTATTTTTTCGTCCAAAATCGGCCTGTAGGGGGACATGCCCGACCTGACGTTACCCAGAGGCCGAAACCGAGAACCAGCGCCTGGGTCGAAAACGCGCTGCGTCGTCGGAGGTTCGGGCATGTCCCTCGTGCAGGGCGGCGGAGCCAGGGTGGCGGCCAGACGGCGCGAGCAGGCAGAAATGTGGAGAAGGAGGGGAGGGGGAGAGAGAGAGAGAGAGAGAGGGGAGGGAGAGGGAGGAGGAGGAGGAGGAGGAGGAGGAGGAGGAGGAGGAGGGAGAGGGGAGGAGGAGGAGGAGGAGGAGGAGGAGGAGGAGGGAGAGAGGAGGAGGAGGAGGAGGAGGAGGAAGGCGGAGGAGGAAGGAGGAGGAGGGAGGAGGAGGAGGAGGAGGAGGAGAGAGGAGGAGGAGGAGGAGGAGGAGGAGGAGGAGGAGGGAGGAGGCGGAGGAGGAGGGAGGAGGAGGAGGAGGCGGAGGAGGAGGATGGAGGAGGCGGAGGAGGAGAGGAGGAGGAGGAGAGGAGGAGGAGGAGGGAGGATGGAGGAGGAGGGAGGAGGAGGAGGAGGAGGAGGAGGAGGAGGAGGAGGAGGAAGAGGAGGAGGAGGAGGACGTGGGTGAAGCTCCAGCTCCGAGGCTCGTCCACGCACGCAGGCCGCGGGAGGGCGCGGCCGGAGCGGGCTACGACGAGGCGCTGCTGGGCCCGCCGTGCATGCAGGTGTGCCTCCGTGCCGGGGACCGCTGCGGGCCTGTTGGGGCGCCGCGCGCTCGGGCTCGACTAGACGTAAGAGTGACCTTTCGCCGGAGTGACCTTTGGTGCGGGCACAGATGGGTCCCCAGATGGCTGAAAACGAAGCAGGAGCAGCGGCTTGAGCGCCCAGGTTTGGTCCCCACGCGGCCCCCCAAAGGCCGCGCACCAAAGGTCACTCTTACCCAGGGTCACTCTTGCGTGTAGCCGATCGGGCGGGTGGCAGTGGGCAGGAGCGCAAGAAGGCAGCCACGCGCATTCTGTTTGTCGTGTTGGCAGGGAGGTGCAGATAAGACATGTGGAGAGCAGAGCGAGAACATAGCGAGAAGCAGCGTTTGGGCCCAGCCCTGGCCGTCAGGGGCAACGCCAGGGAGGGCCGGGGGTGGCCAAGAGAGGGGGTGCCAGGCACGCGCAGGGGGTGAGGGGAGGGGGGAGGGCTTCTCAGGAGCGCCCCTGCTTCTGAGAAGGCGCGGGCCTCATCTGGAAGTGCAGGGCCGGCGCCTTCCAAGAAGCAGCCTCCTTCCAAGAAGCCCTCCCCCTTCCCTCCACCCCCCTTGTGCGCGCCGCCAAGGAAGGACGTACACGTACATGAATCCACGCTGGTTTCGAGAGTTCGCATTGCGCGAATGTTCGTATCACGCGGCCGGTCTCGCGGGTCAAGGGGCCGTGTGCATGTACATCTAACTGGGCGCGTACGTCTTTTGTGGGCTCCCTGGGTGGGGTGGTGACCATGGGGGGTGCAGAGACAAACAAGTGCCCTACAGAGGGGCCCTCCTCTACAGGGCTCCTTTGTGGAGCCAGCTGGTGCCCACAGAGGGGCCCTAGCAAGGGCCCCTTCAGCAGAGCCCTTTTCTGCACCCCCCAATTGGGGCCCTGGAGGGGCCTCTCCTCTGGGGCCCCTTTGGGAGCCAGATGGTGCCCGAAGAGGGGCCCTCGAAAGGGCCCCTTTGGCGGAGCCCCTTTTCTGCACCCCCCAGTTGGGACCCTGGAGGGGCCCCCTCCTCTATAGGGCCCCTTTGGGAGCCCGATGGTGCCCGAGGAGGGGCCCCATAGAAAGGGCCCCTCTTCGGCAGGGCCTTCCTCTTCGCCCCCCCACGTGGGGGTCACCCCCCACTGCCGCTCGCCCGAGCGTGCGGCGCCCCTTTGGCCCCGCTCCCGGCACAGCCCCGCGGGCCCAGAGGTCTCCGAGGATCTGACAGGCTCTCTCCATCCGGCGGTGAATTCCTGGATCTCGGCCTACCCTGCGGGCAGTACTTATATCCACATCCAGAGCGTCGTGGACTTTTCGGGAAGAGGTGCCGCACCGCAACGCCGAGGCGCACTGGATATGGATAAAATCAAGCCTCTTGGGGCCAGATTTTTATCCATATCCAGAGCGTCTACGGTTCCTGGGGAAGAGAGCCCAAGACTCCAAGACGCACTGGATGTGGATATAACTACTGCCCGCATCCCCGGGGCCCGCTCTCGGGACCAGCGGGGCCTTCAACAAAAGATCCAGGACGGAGAGCCACTCCCGGGAAGGGGGGTCAGGTCGGACGGGGCCTGGGACGAGGAGAAGTCCGTTCCAGACCCAGGCCCCCTCGAGTCCCGAACAGATCATGACGGGGGATTTTTCGCCGCTATCGGCTTTCGGGGGGCCCTTGCTGGGCCTCGGAACCGTCGAAAAACGACTCGGGATGAAAACCTGGTCTCGGGGAATAGGTCGAGACCTCGGGGGGTCGACGTAATGAAAAAATCATGACGTCGGGGGTCTGGGGAGCGTTCCTGAACGCTGTAAGAGCGTTCCGGAACGCTCTGAGAAGGCCGCGGCGCCCGAGACATCCTCCAGAGCCGCCAGATCTCAGAGATTCCTCTCGCTTCGCGGGGTGCACGTCCGGAGCACGTACACTCACGTCGTCGCGGGGCCTCTTGGGAGCCTCTTGGGGGCCTCCTGGAGGCCTCCTGGGAGTTTCTTTTGGCTTCTTGGGGACTTCTTTGGGGCCTTTCCCCCCTCCTTCCTTTTCGTACACCCTCCCCATCTTCCCTTCCACCGCCGGCTCTAATCATGGGCGCCGCAGTGACCAATTTCCACCTGGCTGGCGCTGCGCCGCAGTTCGCCCAGAGGGGGGAAAATAACGTTACACTCCAGTCGTTGTGTGGCCTTTGGGGCGCTTGTTGGGGGCCTTTTGGAAGCTTCCGGGGACTTTTTGGGAGCCGCTAGATCTCAGAGATTCTCGGGCTTACGCCGCACCGCCGACCCCTCGGGGGTGTAGTAGATACCTGCCAGTGGGGGCCTCGCGTGGGCCTTTTGGGGGTCTGGTGGGCCTCCTGGGTCTGGTTTGCTGGTTTGACGCCGTTCGGATGGCTCATAGGGTCGCGTGGGAGGCGCGTCGGGAGCGTCATGGAGACAGTTGTTGATCATGTTCGGGGCCTCCTGGCGGCGTTTTTTTTGTGGGGGTGCTCTTTTGGCGCTCTCTGGGGGCCTCTTGGAAGCTTTCGGGGGACGGAAGCTCGAAATGTCCGTTGAGACTCCCCCTCTAGGCCTCCCCTTGGGGCCGTCCTCGGGGCCTCCTCGGCCGTCTTGGAAGCTTCTGGGGCCATCTTGGGGCCCTCGTGTGCCGTCTCGGAGCCCTCTTAGGGGCAGGGGCCTCTTGGTCCGTCTTGGGTCGATCTTGAGCGCCGCTTCGACCTAGGTGGGCCTCGCGAGAGCACAATAGGCGAATGTGGCAACATTGAAGGTTTCCCTGAGGGAGTGGGGCGACTTTTGCTCCTTGAAGGCCTCTTGGAACGCCACGTGGCGACTTTTTGGAACGTCTTGGGGGCCTCTGGGGCCGTCGGGGGCCAATCTTGGGCGTCTTGGCGCGATCTTTCGGCGACTCGTGCCCCTCTTGAACATTCTGGGGGGCCCTTTTCGGGCCCTCGTGGCCTGTTCTGGGGCCCCCTGTCCCTCATGGCGCGTCCGGGCGGTCCCCAGGGCCCCCCCCCCTCCAACTCGACCGGACTGGGGTCCCGGGGGAGAGTTTTGAGGAGGGGGAAGCATCTCCCTGGAGGCAGGAAAGGGGTATGGTATAAAGGGGTGCGGTGTTAATCGCATGTGAAGGGGACTGGCGATGTTTTCATACCAGATAGCATCGCAATTTCCATGATTGGCACCATACCCCTTTATGCAGCACCCCTGTCCGACTTCCAAAATCTCACACGCCGATGAACCCAAGGAGTCAGGGGATTTGAATTATATTCACCCGAAGCGATCCTCGTCCTGGCTTCGTCGCACCTTGGGGGCAGCGAATTCATAACAAAATCACATCGGCGGATGCCTGGAGAGGAAGGGGGCTCTGGAGATGTTTCGCAGCTTGCGCCCGAGGGTCGCGCCGTCGTATCGCCGGTGCGTCTGCGATGCGGCTTGATGTGGAACTCGTTGTTTGTCGCGCCAACAGCGCCGATGCGTTGCCGACGTCGTGGAGGCAACTCGCCGGGGCATCGCCGATGCTCTGGGAGGCCTTCGTTTAGGGCCCCAGGCCCCTTTCTGGGCTTCGGGCCCGGCAGAAGCCGACTCGGGATGACAGGCCTGTCCTGGGGAAAGACCCAGGTTCTAGGACCCGTTTCCCTCAGAGTCTCTCTTCTTCATGGCGACGAGGGGACTCCTCCCTGGGTCCCGGGACCATCAAGGAGCGACGCACTCGGGGCTTAAGGGACGGGGATCACGGTTGCATTGATTCGGGTCAGTGCGTCCCCGACTCAGGATAAAGCGTCCGTCTTGGTGACAGCTCTTGAGTGTAGGAACCGTTTTCACAAAGACCCCCTTGTTGGAAGAACTGATTCGCTAAATCATATGCGCTCACTGGGCCAGGTGGGACTTGGTTCGCCCCTCCTCTCTCTGGACCGGCCTCTTCGGAGGCAGGCCCTGTTCCGTGTCAGGGTTCGACCCAAACGGTCTTTTTGGCGATTCTGTGGGCCGTTTTCGTTTCGATCCCGTTTTGCGGCAAAGGCGGATTGAAGACACAATGAGGGGAAACGAAAGCAAAACGAACACGAAAAACACCGTTTATTTAGGTTCAGCCCTGTTCCGTGCTCCATGCTCACTCCCTTCTTTCCCACCACCTTGTCGCTCCGTGCACTGTGCCAAAAGGCCACATCCGAAGCCAGCGCGGCCCGTACCCCCCCCCCGGCTGGCCGCCCAGGACCTCCTGTACTTGCCCCGCGGCACGGTGCACCGCGGGTCGGCCGTGGATGGTGAGGATCCCGCGCCAGATTCATTTGGTGTGCTCATGGGCGGGGCCTACAATTAAGTCTGGCAGGAGGAATGTTCAAACATAGGAAACAATCAGGGGACGATGTTTCGATTATTTCTGGCCGTTTTTTAAGATATATATATATATATACAGATATGTATTTTTCGCCCAATTCCATCTGTAGGGGGACACGCCCGACCTGAGCTAAGCCTACAATGGGGTGGCGCGAGGGGGGTGGACTTCTATGGAGGCGGGGGGCATGTTAATCGGACGGGGCCCTCTTCGCGCGGGCTGGCGCCAGGAGGGCTTTCGAGAAGCCGCCTGCCGTCTTTGAAGCCCCCTCCTTCTCAGAAGGTCGCCCCCCTCTCGTGCCACTCATGTGTTCCAGGCCCTTGAGATTTGCCACTGAGACTGTGGTGATCATGACACTCATGACATTCCAGGCCCCTGAGCTGGTGCCAGAGTAAGTGAGGTCGGAGGATCGCGCAGCACCGCCGATGCATCGGCGATGCGGCTCGACGTGGAGCCCGATGCTCTCCACGCCGACGCTGGCGGTGCATCGGGGGTGTCGCCGAGGTGTCGCCGACGCGTCGGCGAGGCGTCGGCGATGCGGCGCGATCCTCCGGCCCCACCTGCTCCGCCACCCTCTGGGAGGCCTCGCTGTGCGGGCGCCACCAGGCTCAGGCATGGAGCGGGCCTCCCTCAGGAGGAAAAGAAACACACAGACACAATTAATCCTTGACTCCCCAGAAGATATAGGAAAATATGGGAAGTGGGGGGGAAGACAGAAACCCAGAAACTATGGGAAAATATGGGGAATATTTTTATTTGTGTGTATTGATTTGTGTGTCCTGGGGCCCCTTCACTCCCTCCTCCCTCCGCGGCCACGGCTTCCGCGCGTGCCAGCCGCAGCTCGCCGCGGGGCCGCTCGCCGCTGCCTCCTCCGACTGCCGCGGGCCTCCCTGTCGCCGCGGGCAGGAGCCGCGCGTCGGAGAGAGCCTGGCGTGCAGTGCTCGTCTCGGGGGGGCCTTCCTGGGGCCCACCGGTCGGATCCTCCTCCTCCTCCTCCTCCTCCTCCTCCTCCTCCTCCTCCGCCCCTTCTCCCTCCTCGCCTCCTCCGTCCTCCTACGGTTCGGCTCTGGTTCGATTCCGGCTCGAGTCTGGCTCGGCTCTGGCCGGACTCGAGGTGGGCTCGAGGCTCGACGGGCGTTCGACACGCAGCCCGACGCGTGAGCGGGGCGAGGGGCTCCGGGGAGGTCCACAGAAAGAGCAGTTGTAGGTGGAGCCTCTTTTTCTTCCTCCTCCTCCTCCTCCTCCTCCTCCTCCTCCCCCTCCTAAGACAGATAATGATATATGGTTGCGCCTGCCCGTTGAACCTCGTCAGCTTCCGAAAGGACCAAATGTTGGTTGTTCCAGGTATCCTGTTGATTGGGTGCCAGTTATGAAGGCGATAGAGGATGTTGACTGGCAGGACTCATTACAGCACGCATGGGATATGACATTGATGGCAGTTGAGCAGGAGTTGTGTGCACGGTATGACAAGGTAGGTGCTGGTTATGAGAGTTACCTTGGACGAGGAGGGCCAGTGCAGACTAAGTACGTCAAGGCGCAATGGAATCCGCGACAGGTGCGACTACAGCATGGGCCGCGACTACGAGCTTGGCTTCAGGCTGCGCGTTGGGCTAAGCATCTTATGAAAGTGCGGGCCTTTTGGTGCAAGATGGCTGAGGCGTTCAAGTTTGAGGGCAGAAGTGCTGGCATGTATTACCTTCCTGACTACAAGAGTCCGCACTCTGACAAGGTTGTGGTATTGGATACTACGAATGAAGAAATGGAGGAGGCTTGGCAGAAGGTCAAAGCCAAAAGACCACACTTGCGACCCAAGTCTCGGCGTGCGGGGGTGAAGCCTGATAAAACGCGGTCAGTACAGTTGAACAGGTGCACGACAGCAAGCACAACCACAGGCTGGTTATGAAGAGTATCTTAGATTTCACAAGCTGCTCAAACCGGCTGCAGGATTGGCGAGATCACTCGTGGTCCATTTCTTGAAGAAGGTGCACAATGCGCAGGACACGCTGCAGTATTTTGATGATTGGGCAGTTGATTTGTTTTCTGGAGATTTTGCTATGATGGTCATACCTGATTTTCTGACATTGGCTTTCAAGTTTGTGGAAGTTGCTGATGATATGATGACGGCGCATCAGAAGGAAGCGGACAGATTTTGGCAATCATGGGTCAGGTCTGCATTTGAGAAAGGAGCTGGTGCTGCACATCGCGCGTCGAAGGCGAAGGCATTGGAAGCTGCGATCACTCACACGGATAACTCTCAGCCGTATCAACTTGCCGACAGAGAGCTTGAGTGCTGGAGTGAGGTATGGAGTTGTCATGAAGTGGTGAGTGACAAGATGCCTGCTGATTATCAGAGCTGGGATCTGCTACCGAAGCTGCGGCCTGAAGATATTCAGGAAGCGGCGCTCACCTTCCCTTGGGAAACGTCGGTAGGTCCTACGCGACTGCATCCTCGTGCCTTTTGGTACCTTTCGCAGCCAGGCCTAGTTGCTCTTGCAGCTTTCTTTACGATGTGCGAGCAGATGTTGATGTGGCCGTCTAACAGAATAGTCAATGAGATGGTTAGACTAGTAAATCCTGATGGGGGAACACTTCTTATCACTTTGGTCGAGTCGCTAGTCCGTCTTTGGTCTCGTGCTCGTCGACCGATGTCCAGAAGGTGGGTTCAAGATCATGCTAGTCTTTGTATTTGGGGCAATCGACGCGGCTACTCATCCAGCTTTTCGGCGTATGAGCATAATTTACAGGCTGAAATAGCTGATCGACTAGGTGAATGCTCAATCACTGTATTCTTAGATATGTGGAAATGTTTTGAGACGGTTATGTATGACGCCCTCAACGTAGAGGCTAGGTCCATGCGGTTCCCCATGGGGCTCCTCGGGGTGCTCTTGGGCTCGTGCTCGCAACCTAGAGTAATACGGGCGTTTGGGTGCTGGAGCAAATCGTTTCGGGCTCTGCAGGGTATACTTGCGGGATGTACTCATGCTACTACTCTGCTGTTTATCTTGACATATAGGGCTGTCCATAAAGTCACCCAGGTGAGCCCCAACGTGCACCCCAGGGCCTTGGTTGATGACACCACACTTCAGTGGACGGGGCCCAAGGAGGACACCGCTCATGAGTTGTTCAGGGGGTTCCAGTGCTTCGTGAAGGACACGTCCAGGCTCGGTCTCTTGCTCCAGGCCAAGAAGTCTGGGTGGGTGGCTACGGCTGCGTCGGCTAGGCATGGTTTTGGAAAGCTTGCTCAGAACATCCACTTGAAAGCAAACTCTTGGGCGAGGAATCTGGGGCATGAGCTCAGCGGGCCCAAGCCAGTCAGCAAGCAAGCCGAAGCCAGGTTGAAGCAGCTAGCAGATAGGCTACCCAGACTAAAGATGTTGAGACGTGGAGCTAGTAATCGAGTTGCGGCTTTTTGGAGGACAGGTCTCATGCCAGCTGCTGCTCATGGAGCTATTGTTTCAGGTGTCAACAACGGTGAGTTGGCCAAGCTTCGGCAGACGGCAGCAATGTTGGCAGGACGGTCTAGTAAGTCTTCTTCCCTCACGCTTTTCCTTGCCGCACAGGCTGACGCCAAGTGCGACCCCATATATGCTGCTACATTGGATCCAGTACGGACTGATGCGTCGTTCATCTGGGACCAGAGGGTTAGTCTTGGGAGGCTTCGCAGGGCGCGGCAAAAAGTTAGCGACACATATTCGTCGCGGCCTTCCTGGGCATCAGCCAAAGGTCCAATAGCAGTGCTTATTCTAACGCTGGCAAGGACAGGCTGGGAGATGTTTCCCAGTACGGTGTTGGTCAGCGATCTTGGCCACCAGTTTGATCTCCCCCTTCTCCCTCCACGCTCAGTCGTGGAGCTTGTGCGCCAAGGAATCGAGCGAAGGCAATCTCAACAGATTCTTGACGCCACAAGGAGGTATGTGTAGGAGGAGAGATCATTTGGGCGAGGGCGCTCAGGGAGCGCATTGGGGGAAGACCGGCGGTGATTAAGAATGAGAGATTCGCTGGTGCACTTCGTTCGCTGTGGTCAGGTGCCTTATGGTCTCGTGGCCGTCTTGCGCGTGCTGGCTATAGAATATCTCCTGCCTGTTGCTGGTGCTCGGCCGACAAGGCCACCATTGGGCATGAGTTATTTGAGTGTCCTGATTTTTACCATGATGTTTATGAGGATCCCGCTCTCGATAGGGATCCAGATCTTGATTTTGCGCGCTCTTATCTTCGTGAAAAAAAGGGCAACCAGGTGGAGGACAGCAAGATTATGATTACTATGAGACCTCGGTCGGGATGCCCATCAGTCCTCTGGTTCCTCCGTATGTGGAAGATAAACTGGAGTTCTCGTTCTGGGGAGATTGGGAATATGATCAGAGTTCTCGGAGTGGGGCATGCTATACTGATGGTTCTGGGATGGCCCCCTGTTGTCCAGAGCTAAGGAGATGCGGTTGGTCTGTTGTTCATCTTGGGGACAATGTGATGCCCATGAGAGCCTTGTTTGGGCCACTATGGGGGCCTATACAGACTGTAGGAAGAGCTGAAAGGTTTGCTGTCCTTCAGGCCCTCCGTCACTTGCCGCGCGTCAATTTGCTTGTGTCAGACCTCCTGGGTCTCGTTCGAGAAGCAGGCAGCTGGTCACCTGAACTTGCTGATGCTCCAGCGGCCTGTGCCGATATTTGGCGACCCATCCTGGCAAGGTATCCTAGAGGAGAAGGCCGACCTTTTTTTTGTGGTGCCCAGCGCACCTCGCAGATGACGAAAATGTCGACTGTGCTTAGGAAAAGAAGCTGCCATGGGAGTTTGTCATGGGCAATCGTTGGGCATATTACTTTGCGAAGCGAGGTGCCCTTGAACATGCTCAACCTGACGCGGTGGTCAAATGCTTCGAGGCTCGGCTTCAGGATGCAAAGATGCAGGCGAAGTTCTTTTCTTGGGCAGCGGCCAAGATGGCTGCGCGAGATCAACTGAGCGGTCGTCCTGAGCAACTCCTGAGGGTCCCT